CTTTGTCATGAATGCCCAGTGCCATGAAGGAGTTTTGCTGGGACTGAGTCATTTCTGTCCCTGTGTTTATTCAAGTTGCAGTTTGATTGCAACAGAAGTTCATCAGCCTTCTAGATCCCAAGCTTTCTGTGAGGGGCTCTCTGTCTGCGTTTCCCAAGGAGTTTGCTTGTTGCAGCACTCCTCTGTTCCCAGCAGAAATTCCTGCGTAACAAGTGACACATTTTCCAAGCCATTCAGGTTGGAGCACCCAGAACAAATGGGCCAGGCAGTGCTCCCTCACCAAGCACTAATCAGACATTTTGATGTGGCTCTGGATCTGCTTGGCACAGATGCTCTCAGTCTGAAACAATTGTGCCAAGCAGAGCCCAAATTCTGGGACCCTTTTGAAAGTACCTTCTTTAATCCCTCTCTTTTCTTTGCGGCTTGAATGCATCTGTAACCTTGCCAATGGCAAATAAAAGACAGCCTGGTAAGAAAATTTTGAGGAGGTGGAGAATTTGCAAAACCCTATCTGGGTTTTAGAACAGGGTGCAGCCAGCTGAAAAGAACTGCCTCTCGACCCGGGACTGAAAACTCCCATAGAGCCCTTTTGTTTCTGCTAATTCTGGGCCACTTCCGTACGGGGCTGACAGAAGAGGGTTCAGCTTCTTGCCAAAGGGAGGTTGGTCTGGGTGGGGTTGTACTGTGATTTAGTTTCTACAGCATTTCCTTCCTTTAGGCCAGTGTGACTCCACACTGATTTCCAGATATACACCTGCCAGCTACAGCTGCTGGTTGCTCTCTGCCTTTGTTGCATGTGGCAGTGATTGATACTTGTAAGCACTCTCATTCAAGGCACCTTCTAATGTTTGGTTAGGTGCCTGCCTCAGACAGGAACAGATCATTTGTTTACTGTGCCTAACTTACCAAAGAATCTGTGCCCCTCCCCCTCAAAAATAAATAAATTCATTTCTAAATTGGATAAGGCATAGGTTTTAAATAACTCATTTTTTAAAATGTGTTTCTCTTTCTCTCTTACAGCTAAGCACATTAATGAAGTTATTATGGGTACTGAACAGCTGATGGAAATCTGAATTTGACAGATTTAAAAGAGGGTTTTCTGGCTGCCTGAGCTTATGGCATGGCTAGAGCCTGCAGTCCTGTTTCATGATCTGACTCCTAGCATCGTTGACACCGGTATCCTCTCCAGCTTTTAACTTCTTATTTACACCTTAATAAATAAATATTTACAAGAACATCTCTCTGTTTCCTCTGTGTGACTCTTCCCTCCTCCCCCCCCACCATATCCTCCCTCATTGACATGCATGCTGCCTTGCACAGGGTGGTGATATTGGTTCCTGTAAATCCAGTGAATGCTGTGTGTTGCCAACCAAGCTAAGAGCAGGGACCACACAGATTGTACTCAGTCAAAAGAACAGCTTAGCTGATCTCACTGTGATGAAAGTGCCAACTTTCTGGGTTCCAGTACCTTAAAAAAGCAAGATAGTACAAGATGATTCAGTCTTAAGGCTAACTACGCAATGTTACAAAACAATTAAATAACAGTGGGAGGAGAAGCAGTAACTGCAAGGTGATGCACAGTGAGAAAAATATTCTCTGCTAAAAATCCACTTTGATTCTGAATTAACTAGTCTCACTCAGGCATCTGCGCCTATCATCCCTAAAATTGTCAGTACAAATCACTGCAGCCCTCAAAAGGCAAGCTGAATGTTGGGGAAAGGGGATAAAATATTTCAGAAACCATACATACATTAGCCCAGCAGTCAGTATACTGAGAATTGTTTAGGTGTCTGCTGACTCCACCTTAAAATAATATAATAAAACTGAAAGATCTACAGAAAAACAAGGTGGTCATGAGTATGGAATGCCTTCCAAAGCAGATCAGGATTCATCTCCTTCCAAGGGAAAAAAGTGGGGGAGGATAATAGTATTTAAAATCATGAATGCCTGAGTTTTGGGATTCACTGCAAAAGGCGTGATTGTTTGCTTGCAGGACATGTTCACACTTACATAATTTTAAATTCTTAAGTATATTTGAGTGACAATAATCCAGTATCTGAATTGGCTCCATATGATCTTACTCCTTATTCATGGAAATGCTCAGACACACAAGCTTTTAGAGCTGTGATCACACCATGTCAACATAATACAGCAGATAGGTCAAGGTTATATCAAGGTTTATAATTAAATGCCAGAATATACATGTATCTGAGACGTCTCACAGTGATAAGGCCACAAGGCTTTGGGGACCATCCATTCAGTAAAAGCTCATGAAAGAGCCTTTCCAGGTGGGTAATTGTGTTTTAAAATCATTTGCAAGCACTTGCTACCTGGTAGAATATATAATATGAACTAAGCTTTGCTCATAAACTCATGAGCACTTTATCCTTAAACCACTTATGTTATCAAACCACCTTGTGCAGATGTAAACCCAAATATTTTTCAAGCTTCCACATGATGAACAGTACCTGCATATGAATGGCTTAGCCCAGGCTATCTGCAATACCCTATTATTTCATATGAACCTGCCCAGGCCCTGAGATCTTCAGGGGGAGGCCATTCTCTCAGTCCCACCACCCTCACAGATGTGCTTGGAGAATGCAGGAGAGGGCCTTCTTGGTGGCTGCTCCCTGACTTTGGAACTCTCTTCCTGGAATAAGTTAGACTGGCTCCTTCCCTGTTGTCCTCTTCCTTTTTATTCCAACAGGCCTTTAGGAACTGCCTGTTTTTAAGGAAAGAGCTGCTGCTGTGATGTTTTTATTGTTATTCATATTTTATATTATTGATTAATTACTTTTTAATGATTTCTGTGTTTTTAGCTTTTCTGTTTTAGCTGTATTTTGCACTTTTTTTGTAAGCCACCTTAAGTCCCAAGCCAGGGAAAAGGTGAGATATGAAGAAGAAGAAGAAGAGGAGGAGGAGGAGGAGGAGGAGTGGATGTTACAGTGGCTATCAAAGGAAAATATACCACAGGCTAGCCATTTAGTGAACCAACTCCTGTTGTTTATCGTAAATTTTTGGCAAGCTTTGGCTTACCTCGGGGCATATATTACCATTCCTTTACTATCTTAGAGTGTATCCTGACCACTCAGAAGGTTTTTGTTCTGTTGTTAGTATTCACCTGACGATGGAGCACGCAGTACACCATTTCCTGTGCTTTGTCACTGTTTGCCTTACCTTTGCTGATTTTGGCAGAAACTGAAAGCTTGAGTGCTTTATGTCACTGTTTTACAGTTCCACATTTAGTCACCTCTTTTAGGTTCATTGCATCAAAAACTGGTAGCACTTACTACCCTAAACATTGTTATTCATTCCTTTAATTTATTTAATTAATTTGTATACTGCCCTTCATCTGAAAAGCTCAGGGTGGTTCATAGCATAAAAATACATAATAAAAAACAACAACAAAGCAAAGCAATAAACCCCCCTGCATAAGAATACCGAGACTATGCAGTGATTATGGATTCCATGAAACCAAGGGAATATTTTTTTTAATGGATGGAGGACAGGAGAGAAATGGTAAACCCGAGTCCAGTTTAAAATCTCTTAAGCCTCTTGAAGGTTAAATATTGATCTAAATGTGAATATTACTATACTAGCATAGTCATGGTAAAAGAAGCTCCAGTGGAGTGGTATGCATCTAACCCTTTAGACAAAATAGTTTTATTTAAAACAACACGCATGTCCTGTCAACCACAATTCAAAATACAATTCCAGGATCATGGTGCAAAATACAAGTTCTTGAACTTTTGTGTCAGAAAGAGGCTCTTCGCTTCTTAAAATGTTTGTTTCACAGGAATCTGACTAGCAGAACTCTTAAATTGCACATCTAAGCCTGGTTGTTTGGTCTCTGCTACCAGATACTGGCCCAGAGGAATATTAGTTCATTTTCATCAGACAAAGTGATAAACATGATCCTGATCTTTTTTTCCCCTAAGGGGAGCAGCATTTTTTTCCCCATTTAACACAGGAGAATCAAAATTATAAGCCAACCCTGCCCATTCCTTCATAAATTAAAAATAACCACATTAAAGAACTGGCTCCAAATGGAAAGATGTGAAGCAGCAGCTGTCTAAGATGAAAGGCTGCCTGTCTCTCCACATGCAGCCCTGTGCAGCTCTTTGGTCTTCCTATATGGCCCAAGTTAACCCTGCATCTAAGTCCTTATGAACTGCTCCAACATCTAATGTCACATTGCACTTGTGGAAAAGAATGCAGAAGGATAACTTTGTTCCACAAATACCCAGAGAAAACTTCAGCACCCCATTATCTTTTAAAAATGTAACTAGCGATAGAACTCAAGGTACCAACATATTGGACTATTCTGGGACATCCTGTGAGGAGGTTAAAAAACAAAAGCATGCCCACATAGTAAAGGCATTTAGATTTATGTCTAAATAGCACTGATATTGCCAGAAATTGTGAGATCTATCTAAAGTTCAGGTTAGTGGATTGGGCAGAAGTCTGCAGAACGCAACCTCTATTTTAAAAACTTAACATTTTACTTTAAAAAATAGAGAATCTCATCCCTTGCCCCTTTGTGTTATTCTACTGTAACCCAATGTTGCTCTACTTCATACATAGCCAGATAACCCAGATCATATTCTCATTCATTCTATAACTTTGGGGTTTGCTAAGTACAAAATGTGCATTGCTTGCCTTTGCTGGAAATGGTTCTCATGCATTTAAACCTGTGTATTCGCATAGAAGCAGCAGTTGGGAAAAGATCAACCTCTCCCACTCTCCTAAGTGAATTTACTGAGAAAATCACAAAGGTGTGGTAAAATCACAAAGGTGTGGATCTTAGGTGACACAACATGTCTGTCTTTTGTATGCAAGTATCCTGAATACAAAATGTAAATTGAGAAGTGAGCCTGAGGAGTTGGCATCGTAGTTTTTTGCAAGGTCTTTGCTCCTATGATAACTCCCCATATCTATACCAGATGTTATCTCCTTGTCTTCATAATCCTGTTTTGCTTAGTGCCGTGAGATGGGATGGGAAGCCTCAGTGAGCAGATTAGAACTGAGGTCCTCAATTCAAGTTGCAAGTGCTACTGACTGCTGGAGGAACCGGCTTTTCCTTTTTGCCTTTTATGACCTGCAGGTGTTTGGGGCAAGATAAAAGTAGATTATCAAAGCACAGATTTGCTCTTGATGTAGTCACTGTGTGTGGCAGCAGTGCAATTATGAATAATTCCAAATAATGGTTCCTCTAGAAATCACAAGATAGCTGTTTTAATTTAACCCTCTAGTGATCTGGCAGTGAGATTCTGGGGTCTGCTCTGCACAAGGCTCACCTTACACATCCTTCAAGTAACAGAGGTGCTTCCTCTGGGTTCATGCTAATGTAGTTGTGTCTTATAGCAGGCACCCTCCACACGGCTAGTTCCTGCTCCCTTGCATCCTAGCAGCTGCTTGCCTCAATCCTCTTCCAAGTGGAAACCATCAGCTCTTGAGTCCCTACAACTGCACAGATCTCTGCAAGGCAGTGGCTTCTCTAGTGGGCTGCTCTTGTACTGTAGTTATATCTTGTCTTTATCATTTTACTTATTGTGACCCATTTCCATCACACATCTTAAGCCATGATATGCCATAGTTCAAAGTACCTCCTTCAAAAAGCCCTGGGGCTCAAGCAGCCACCACCACCCGCCCCCAAACACCTTCAGTGTCCAATTGGCCTGTTGTACATTCTTGTAACACACACACACACACACACACACACACAGAGAGAGAGAGAGAGAGAGAGAGAGAGAGAGCGTGCAATCATTTTGAAGTTGGTGGAGCTACAAGTGTGACCAACAGGTCCAATTTAAACATGAAATTATATGGCCACATTAAACTTAAAGAGCTCACACTGTGCTATCAACACACATGACTAGCACCACATGCAGGCAAATGAATATCAAAAGAGGCAACAGCCACATCTTTACCTCTTTTCCCTTTCCCATTCTCATCCCTGCAGATCTGCATGAGGCCAAGTTTGAAAATGTGTCAATTACATGTGGCTGTACTCTTAAAATAGGCAGGATGAGGGCTGCAAGACTACTAACACCACATCAGGTGTTTCCTCTTCAAGCATCATCTAGAAAAGCACTCTGCACTGTGATAAAAAATAGCTTGGCCCAAACGGACACACTTTCCTGGTGTAATGGGGTTTCCAGCTATGGGGAAATCTCACGGATTGCTTGATTCCCCCAAAAGACCTGTAGACTGGCCGTCAGAGCCTAAAGGTAGAGATCTCTCATCGCATTTACAGGAGAGGGGAGATGGCCTCTAGTGTCAGTGGGTCCACACAGGATGGTGCAGGGAGTAGACCCATCTCCTCCCCTGTTTTATCCTTTTATTTTCATGGGACTGAAACTTTTTATCATCTGCGCTGCCCTTTCAGTAGTATCTAGTTTCTTGACATACATCTCAAAATGTGATTATAAGACCTGGAGACTGACTTACGGGTTCAGTTCTCTTCAGGGAAGTATTTCTTTCATTAGAAATGTACCCTGTAACTGCATTTGCATTGCATTTACAAGCCAACGGAGAAGAATTGTTCTCTAAATGCTGTGAGGCTCAAGAGACTCCAACATTTTTATAATAAAATCAGCCATATCTTTGTTCTGGTGTGTCATATGCAGCCTGTGTGTTCTGATAGATATGCCAGCCTATCTTGGGCAGGCCAGTTTAACATTGTCAGACCAGTTATGAATGTGTTGGCTGAGATTCCTGTTAAGAATAGTGAAGATACAATAGCTACTCTGCTTTCTGGCAGGAGGGGCAGGGGAACATGGCAGATTGTGCATTTATCACTCTGTCTCCGGAGATGCCCATTTTCCAGCCTGGAAAACTAGATGACAATTTAAAAAATCTTGTTTGAACACAGCAGAAAACTCTAGATGTAATTTTAAAGCTAGATGTAAAACAAATCTTACCAATGTGCTTTTGGCCCTGCTGGGTGTGTGGCCAAAACCAGCGGCGTTGCCAATTAATCGGTGTAATTTTGCTATGAGTGAATACCGTTTTCCTAAACACACTAATTGCTGGGAAGATATGATTTTCTTCATCTTAATGACATGCAGGGTTGTTATAGCTGAAGGTCTAGAAATCTGCATAGCTTCTATTATATCCCAAGGCACTGAGCTTTCTAGCACGGGATCTACAAAACATTATGCACATTACGCATATCTAAGCAAATTTGCAGCACCAGTTACAAAATTCACAAAATGCTTTGTTTCAGACCTTGAGTTACAAGGTTTAGTGCAGATATCCATATACACATGAATACATGCAGCCATACATTTATACCAACTCTAATTAAGCTGCCAACCCAGAGTGGTAGCCTTTCAAACATATCCCAGGAACTACATTTAGGAACGTAGGAAGTTGCCTAGCACTTAGTCAGGCCATGGAGCCATCTAAATCCTTATTATCCACCCCGACAAGCAGCAGCTTACAAGGTTTACCAGTGGGGTCCCTTCCAGTCCTATGTGGGAATGCTGGGGATTAAACCTGGAACCCTTTACATCCAAAGCTGAGGCTCCAACACTGAGTTATGGCCCAGGGCCATTTAAGTCAACGTGCACAACAGCCAAGTGGGATAGCTCAATTGGTACAGCATGAGGCTCTTACTTTCAGGGTTGTGGGTTCAAGCCCCATGTTGGGCAAAAAATCCCTGAACTGCAGATGATTGGACTTGATGGTCATCATGGTCCCTTCCAACTCTACAGTTTTATTAAGTCAGTGTGCACAGCAGCTTCAGACAAGGGATACTTGCAGGTATCCAGTGTCCCAGCTCTACAAATGCAGTACACTAGGGAGCTCAGAGCCTGCTCCAGCCCAGAAGAAGGGCATATGTGCTCAGCATTTCTTGGGAGAGCTTAGACAGTAGATGTTTTTGGACTTAACTGCTTTCCCTGCTCCTTGGCCAGAAGTACAAGAAAGCGGCCTTGAGGAAATGGCTCTGGCACGATATGTGTGTGTCTATGTGAGGGTGCACACCAGTTTCTGACCCCTTGCTATCATTTAAAAGAAGAGGAGTTTGGATTTGATATCCTGCTTTATCACTACCCAAAGGAATATCAAAGCGGCTAACATTCTCCTTTCCCTTCCTCCCCCACAACAAACACTCTGTGAGGTGAGTGGGGCTGAGAGACTTCAAAGAAGTGTGACTAGCCCAAGGTCACCCAGCAGCTGCATGTGGAGGTTCACTAGATTACAAGTCTACCGCTCTTAACCACTACACCACACTACAACACAGCTGCCAAACCAAAGTTCAAACAGAGGCGGCTTCTGCCATTGTCAGGCTCTCAAGAGAGGAAGCACCTGTATATACTCCTCTTCCCCAGTGGTGGTAACTCCAGTTAAGGAGTGCGGCTAATCCTGAAGTAGCAGGGTTTTACTTCATCTCCCAGGTTTGGCTTGCTGTTCTCATGAGAGGTAAAAATATTTATACATCAACAGACTATGTCCACACATGTGAGTACTTGGTAGGTATACCTGAGGAGGAATGACACTCTCCACTTTTCAGAACACTGTCTCTTAACATCCCTCTGATTAATCTGCATTTGAGAATACAGGTTACCTCCACATATGAGTGGCAGTGGGTCAAGAAATAACTGTTGCAGGCACAGCAGACCAGTGGATAGGCAAAGCTCATAAACAGATAGTGTGTTAAGGCAAACTTCGGGTTTATAAGGTACCAGAATTTCTGGGTGCCACATCAACTGGGATGCTTAAGGCTGTTTCAGTGCTGACCATCAAGATAAGAAAGCAAGGAGCTTGTGAGGCCTGCACTTGAGGGCAGCTGAGGAGCCTGCCATTGGGCCTTTATCATTCAAGGAAAACTGGAGGGGTTAGGGGATTTTCTTGGCTTTTGTATTTTAGCGGAAAGTAAAAGATCTGCCCCCTGGTTCCTTGCCCCCACCCCCCCTTCCGCCCCCCACCTCAAGGAAAAGGACTAGCGTCTGGCCTTGTATGCATAAGCTAATCCTTTGTGCAACATCTAAATGGTTAATTGTGTTTGAGGAAGACGTACAGGCAAATGGGGGGGGGGAGACCACCCAGCATGAAACAGACAAGAAAGAGCAATCTTTGCAATGTTTAACCAGGGAGAGAGCAAAGTTGTTTAAAAATATTTAATTTACAACATTCCACTCTGCTGATTATAAGCCAGGCAGCCAAGAAAACGCCACTGCTTGTGGGGAACCATCCAGGAAGTTTGCAACAAATTCCTTGGATTGTTTTTAATCTTCCTCTGTCAAGCGCTTTTTAACCCAACCACTGCTACACTTAGGTTGCCAGAGGCCAGTAAAATAAGAGCCCATGCCTTCCTTCTCAAGAATTGTGTTTTTATTTTATTTTATTTTATTTTTAAGGAAGCCAGAGCAGAGAGGGAGCAAGAAGAACAGACTAGCTATATCTATCATCTATCTATCTATCTATCTATCTATCTATCTATCTATCTATCTATCTATCATCTATCTATCTATCATCTATCTATCTATCATCTATCTATCTATCTATCTATCTATCTATCTATCTATATCTATCTATCTATCATCTATCTATCTATCTATCTATCTATCTATATCTATCTATCTATCTATCTATCTATCTATCTATCTATCTATCTATCTATCTATCTATCTATCTATCATCTGTCTATCTATCATCTATCTCTAAGCTATCATCTACCTATATCTGTCACCTATCTATCACATTTATATTCTGCCTTTTTAACAAAGAGCTAAAGGTAGTGTTCATGGTTCTCCCCCCCCCCCCCCATTTCATTTAATCCTCACAATAACCCTGTGAGGTAGGTTAGGCTGAAAGGCAGTGACTGGCCCAAGTTCCCCCACTGAGCTTTTCATAATACTTTTGGCCAGATGTCTGTATCGCTTCACTAGCTGAATGAAAAGACTCTGCATCTTCTTTGGCCCTAAAGTGCCAGTTCTGTTACCTTTGCAATGTAATATCATGGTAGTACCTGTCATGCTCAAGGCCTATGGCAGAGTTACAAAAAGAGAGATGGTACACTGCCTTTCCACTCATTTCCACATCGGCAGGTTTTTGGACTTCTAGAGTGGTAAACTGTGTCACTGCTGATATGTATATGTGCATGTATTAATATATGGATGGATAGCCAGTGTAGTGCAGTGTTTAGAAAAGCAATAGCCACCATCATGATCTCTTGAGGTTTTGGACTACAACTCCCATCAGCCACAGCTAGCAATGATGAGAATTGGAGGGCACCACATTGGCTACTCCTGGATAAGAGTGTCAGACTAAGACCAAGAAGACCCAGTTTCAGATCCCTGCTTTGGAAAAGAGCTCACTGGGCGTCTTTGGGCCAATCATTTTCTTTCAACCTAATCTTCCTTACAGGGTGATTGTAAAGGTAAAGTAGGACAAGTTCATTCATTTATTTACCGTATTTATTTATTTATTTGAATATTTATATACCACTGTATCATAAAGATATATCACAGTGGTTTATAATAATATAAAATCATAAAACCAAACAATAAAATCATAAAGTTAAAAACAAGTTAAAAGCAAAAAAGGAATTAAAAACAAACATCAATAGTACTTATGCTGCCCTGATAATCCTGGATAATATACTCTACCCAGAGGTAGGCTCACTCAGTCAGATCCGTTCACACGTTGCAATTCATAATGCTCCCATATTCTGCTGGAGGCAGAAGAGTAGACCTTGTGGTCAGTGGCTTTATTCAAGGGAACAGCCGGCCCTGCCATTAGGCTAAGGGAGCTGCCTTGAGAGGCAGCTGCTGAGTGTTGGGGGCGGGGAGCAGAGGCAGCAGCCCCTTACAACTGAGGTAATTCGCCTCTGTTGAACAGCAGAGTGTATTAGCCTCTGTGCCTCATATCCTACTGTGTGCTTCCAAAAACTAGCCTGCTGTCTTCAATGGGACATTGTCATGTTGTTAGTGATGAAATACAAATTCAGTTGCCTGCCTGCTTGATTTCTGAATGTTGAATGATGGGTGCCATCTTGTCCTTGGCTTCATGCAGTAAGGCCGCACCCTGAAGGTCAAAGATGCCCAAGCAAGATCTGGTTGGCATAGGGTGTAGGCGGGGTGGGTGGGGAAAGATTGGCAAAACACAGTTTTGATAACAGATTTAATAGAACGATCACTCTGCCAAACAGGGAATGAAGCAAGATGTCTCATTCATTTCCTTGTCTCTACTTTTCTTCACATCCACAGTGTACATTGAAAACACTCCTGTGCTACTTTAACAGTCATGGCCTACCCCCGCCCCCCAAATCCTGGGAACTGTAGTTGTTGAGGGTGCTGGGAATTGTTGCTTTATAAAGGGTCTCCTAACAACACTCAGCACCAACAAACTTGCAGTACCCAGAATTCTTCAGGGAGAGGCCATGACTGCTATAAGAGTGCTTTCCATATATGGTGAAGATGTGATTTCTGTCTCTCTCATCTAAGTAGAGGATTGTGGGAGAGTCACTAACTTGCTTTCAGAAGCAGACAGAAGAGAAAAACTAGGAATAATTGGCTTACATGTGCTGTAAATGGAGAGTGGTGAGTAGACAAAACGGAAAGTATTTATTTTACTGCCTTTATATCCCATCTTTGCTCCAAGGAAATTTTCCATTGCATCTACCTTTACCAGGCCAAGTCTAAGGTTATGATATTGGCATACATAGGAACCTGCCTTATACAGAGGGAGACTGACCTGCTGTCCAAAGGGAATGCCCATTGGAACACCCTGTGATCCATCAATTCCATGGGGGATACACTCAGATGGGAGCCCCTGTTGAAGACAAAACAGGTAAAGTGTGTCAACTCCAAACTGAGCTTTGGCCCTTGGTACAGAGCCAGATTCCAAACCTTACATTTCTTTCCCCAGAGAATATAGTCCCAGAAGCCATTAGAGCAGCAGCAACTACTCCTTCTTAGTGAGTTGTGCCTTGCCTCTCTCAGTGCCGGGGTCCCCTCCAACGATATCTGCCATAGGCACCAGAAGTTCAGTCTTGTCCAAGTGAGTTTGCTCAGCTTGTGGGGTCTATGGCAGCCCAATAACCCCTTTCCCAGAGCTCTGAGGCTTTGGGGAGTAAAAGGTCCAGCAGTCCTCTGGCTGGTCACTCCTTAGGACATCCTCTTTTTACTTTTTCTTCTTCTTTTTTAACCTGTGTCTTTCCTGATGAAGGCTCAACTATATTTTTACTTCTTCACAAATTGTTTCTGGCATTAGACATCTGTGTATGTTGCAGTTGGGATTTGTGATCTGTATTTTAACCTATTTTACATTTTATGGAATGGTTTTATTGTGCACCACTTAGACACATCATTTTGAGTCGTAAGTAGATAGGTAAATAAATATATGTTGGTTTTATTCCGTACCCATTCATTCCTTCTCCGTAGGTCAGAAACTCTTTGCTTCCCACCCAGACCCACTGTAGAGATAACTTATCTCAGTTCCTGCCGTTCCACAAAACTGACAAGAACCTAGATATGCAGTGCAGTTCACAAGGCTAGCTTCCAGTTGTGAGTTAGGGGGTATCTTAGGGAATGATACCTACCAATTCCTAAAGTGCTTCCTGACTGTGTGCTAAATCACTGAGCATAATGATGGAAGAGGAGTGAATACAAAATGGGGTATAAGCAGCCTGAACCGCTGTACCACCACACAGTGGAATAAAATCCAGACATGGTTGTGATGTGGGTTTACAGGGTAAACAGACAACATGCATTAATGACAGGTCTCCAATCTATTGCTTCTCCAAGTGGGTCCAAAACCCTGGCGGTCCGCTGCCAGTCAGTGCTGCCAGTCATATGCTAGTGCATGCTGCTAAATCGCTGCCCTCCTGAAGCTGGGAGCAACAAACCACAAGCCTTGGCTTCCCATGGCATATGAACCAGCACTCATGGTTTGTTCAAAACACGATTTGAAAGCAATGAGCAAACCTTGGTTAACCATTGTGGTATGTTTGGAGCAGGGGGCAAACCCACAAGTGCTGCTTCAGATGTCATAGTAAGCCAAATCTTGTTTGTTCCTCCCAGTTTGAGGAAGAGTGGAGTAAAATGGGAGTGATTCAGCAGTATGGACTTGCACTCTGCTTGTTCACAGTAAGCCATGGTTTGTGGCTTTCTGCAACATGCAGACAGGACCACTGACTAGTAGCAGTTCTCCATGTTTGTGGCTGACCATGAGGCATGAGCACAGCCAGTGTAATGGAGACAATGAGTCAGGTGGACAAATGGGTATGTCATATGGCACCTTCCTATTCATCTTTCATTGTTCTTGTAGAGGCCTGTTCTGCTGTTTGCCTTGTCGAAGGGTCATCTCAAGCTAGTTGCTGCCACAGGCAAGGTACGTGGAGAGACCATTCATGTGACATAGTAAGGACTTTGTTAGGTTATTCTGTAAGTCCCATGAGTTGTTTAATGACTGACACTAAGCAAGAGATTTGTTCTTCTTTGTTTGAATCTCTGAGCCTTTATGTCCCTCTTAGTCTTAGACATAGAGGCCAGCCTTAGGAGCATGACAGACTGGGCAGAGATAGCAACGTGGCTTTCGAGAATACTCTGCTTGTGTCCTCTGAATTCTGTTCTGCCTCAGCTAACTTTATAAAGACTTTTTGGCTGCTGATGTGAGAGGGTTTGGTTTGTCAACTCTAAACATTCTGATCAGAGCTGTTGTCATGGTAAGAGTCTGGATACCTCAGGCAAATTTGGGGCTTCATTCCTGAATTTCCTTTTTCTTTCCTTCTTCCCCCTTCTCCCTTCCCCTCAAAGTCTCCAGGCAATTTACACATGCAGATAGAAGTGCAGGCAAAATTCTACCCAATTCCTCACTAATTAGTAATACCATTATTTATTTATTATATATTTATTATATATTTGTCAGATGCCTCATAAATAAGTTCTCCGGACATAATGCAAATAAATGAAAAGCATAATAGCACCATAAAAATTCAGACTGTAACTTAAACATCTAGCCAAAAGAACAACAAAATAAAATACAATACAACTCACAAGAGCTGAAAAACAACCCGCAAATATAGAAGTACATAAAGACCACTAAGAATATCATGGGGACTAAAAAGAAAACCAGACACATGATATTAAATGGCTTGAGAGAACAGAAAAGTCTTAAGCCTGATGCCAAAAAGAGAACATGGATGCCAGAGAAGGCAAACTTCCCCAGGAACACTTTCTGCCACTGAAAAGACCCTCTCTCTCCCTCTCATGACTACCCTCATAACTTTGGGTTGAGGGGGCACCTGGAAAAGGGCACCCACAGATGAGCTCACCATATAGGCAGGAAGAGGCGTCCCTTCAAGTCCCAAGGCCCCGGATTGTGTAGGCCTTTTAGGCCAAAACCAGCACTTTGAATTAGGAGACAGTGAGGATGAGAAAAGTGTGAGATATTATGTTCATAATGTCTGGTCCCAATTAACACTCTCACAGCCATATTTGGCATCTGCTGAAGCTTCCCGACTGACTCCAGAGACACGCAGCCCCACCCACAAACACATTCTAATAATCCAAGTGAGAAGCTACCAACACACGAAAGCTTTCACACACACACCTATATTTGCGTCAATCCTCTTCCCTCAGACTTTTGCCTGTGGGTAGGATCCCAATGATAAGTGTCATAATTCAGGACGCTCCATCTTGACTAGTTCTTTTCCTTGCTTCACCTGAATGTTTTCAGGCCTGAGACTTCTCAGTGCCTGTATTCTCGTTGGTCCTCCACAGGTCTGAAGCAATCCCTGGCCTTGCCATCCTAGCCAACAGGCAAATAACTTGGATTCCCAGCTGAACCACTGCCCTTTCCTCAGGCATTTTGTTGGTGAGCTGCTCATTCACAGAGATTGCCAGCAGCTCTGTGTGTGTGCGTATTGTGGATCCTGGCTGAAAGTTGTGTAGCTGAGCTCAGTTTGTGTAGTGGTAACCTTGCCTGACACTGTCGATTGCTTGCTTGGCAGCCTTTAAAAGTGTTTTCCTTCTGTTAATTAACTCCTGGTGGGAGCCAGAGACTTCCTTGTTTCTAGCAGTGGCCTATTAAGAGCGGGGAGCCCTGGGACACTGGCGAACCGCTGTGGGTTTGGCCTGCTCTCTTCTTCATGGCTGAGAAGGCCTGAGGTGAGTGCTGGGCAGCTTGTGATGATGCAGCCAACTCCAGTAGTTACTAGGTAGAAGAAGGCTTGGAATAAAGGGGTTTCTGTCCAGGTGCCAAGGTTACAACCACCTTGCCAGCCAACTCAAACCTTCACGCTTCCCATGACGCAAGAGCCTGAGCCAATTTAGTCCCCCCCCCTGTTCAGCATGGAATCACAGAGGTTTGTTTCTTTACTGTGAACGCATCAGAAAGAGCATGGCTAGCGGAGGCCCAACTCTGCCATCACTCCCCTGATGTCTCCTCTGCTTGGCAGCCACAGCACCTATTGTACACATATACACACTGCTGCCCCCAGTGAGACTCCTATATGGGGGCTTTTCATACAACCACAGGAAGCTGCATTGTATTGAGTCAGATCATAGGTCCATCTGTCTAAACCTTGTCTACGCTCCCTGGCTCTCCAGAATTTCAGACAGTGTTTACCATAACTTCCAGGCTTACCTTACAAATTTCTCCTTTCTTTTGCTTTAGGTCACTACTCTCCTCCCAGCATTTCTCCAAACTGAAAGGAGATAAATCACCGTCTTGTAATTTCTTCTACAATGTCCTAGGGTAGGAAGGGGGGGGGAGGTAGCCTCTCCCACTTTCATTTTCACTCTTACTCTACCTCCTTCCTGATATTCAAAGGGGAGGTTTTCTAATTGCCATAGTCAAATAGCTGTCTTTGATTCCTGCATCACACTTTTCTGGCACAGGAACTTTCTTCTTCCTTTTGCTATCATCATGTGTTTATTTGTATGACACTGTTCCACAAAACTGTACCCAAAGTGGCTCACAACATAGCAAATGAACACAAGTATAAGAATTCAAAAAACACATAATCAGCCTTTGATCTTTTGGCAACCTACTTAACTTTTGATTCATTGCTGTCTTGCAGCCAGACATGATGCAGAGATACATGGCCAGTTTCCAGTAATGCCCAGCAGGAAACTTCCCAATTTGTGACCTCTAACCTTCAGCTGTTCCTGCGATTCCACCATGCTGCCCGGCTCCATCCAAGTTTCTGAATGAAAATTCCAAATAGCATGGTAAGGCACATTTTCATATCAGTTTCTTGTATAATATTCCTTCATGAGCATACTTTATGTTCAGAGGTAAAGGTAAAGGTAAAGGTACCCCTGCCCGTACGGGCCAGTCTTGACAGACTCTAGGGTTGTGCGCCCATCTCACTCAAGAGGCCGGGGGCCAGCGCTGTCCGGAGACACTTCCGGGTCACGTGGCCAGCGTGACATCGCTGCTCTGGCGAGCCAGAGCCGCACACGGAAACGCTGTTTACCTTCCCGCTAGTAAGCGGTCCCTATTTATCTACTTGCACCCGGAGGTGCTTTCGAACTGCTAGGTTGGCAGGCGCTGGGACCGAGCAACGGGAGCGCACCCCACCGCGGGGATTCGAACCGCCGACCTTTCGATCGGCAAGCCCTAGGCGCTGAGGCTTTTACCCACAGCGCCACCCGCGTCCCTATGTTCAGAGGTAGTCCCAGCTCATTTATTACCTAGGGCTGAATGAGGTTCAGAATATATCTAATGGTGGCCAGCAGCTTCCCCTAGTGGGAGTGCCAATGGGCTCTCACACGCATGGGCCCAGACATCATTCAGCCCCCAAGATACATCTTTATAGCACTCAACCAATGTCTCCAGCTGTCTTACTGAGGAAGCATTTGGAGATTGCCTAGGAAGAAATGGCCATTACTTAGGGCTGCCGTATTTAAAAAAGTGAAAATCTAGACACTGTTTCCGACCACCGAATCACGGCTATGTCCGGGAAATTCCGGACGTATGGCAACCCTACATTAATCTAAGCCAATACTTGAAGCCTTTAGGGTTCCATTGCAGCTGCTCAGGGGCATTCAGTAGTCATAACAATGCTTTAGAACTATTTACTTGTGTAGAATCTACACATCTGCTGCAAAATGCATGATGGTGCATAGAAATGCACAGCACATTTCATTAAGGTGCATAGAAATGCACAGCACATTTCATTAAGGTGTGGGTGGATGGATGATTTATTTATTTATTTATTTAAACAAAGGAATGGGGAGGGAAATGACAAGACAAACAAATAAGGATTAGGAAGAGGTAAAGAAGAAAAACAAGCTAACAAAACGATCACATCTAGAAGCCAAAACATTAGATTTTTCCTGCAGAGAAAAAGACCCTTGCCAAGCTGACCAGAGGCAGGGTAATTCTGGAGGGCCAGGGGCCAAATGGCTCCTCCCCCTTGCTTGCATGCCACAAAAGCAGCCCCTCACCCCACAGATCTCTCTCCACAAAAGGTGGCCAGTGGAGCTTGGATGGAGACAGAGCCATGAGAAGAAGAAGAAGAAGAAGAAGAAGAAGAAGAAGAAGAAGAAGAAGAAGAAGAAGAAGAAGAAGAAGAAGAAGAAGGTGGTGGTGGCTGGATGCAGTGGCGTAGCGTGGGTTGTCAGCACCCGGGGCAAGGCAAGTAATTTGCGCCCCCTAACCCGTGGATTTTAGCACTCGAGTGCGAGCGCCCCCCCCAGATGTTGCGGCCGGTGCGGCCGGCCCCCCTTGCACCCCCCACGCTACGCCACTGGGGCTGGGGGCGAGCGAAGGAGCCAAGGACCCTCCCCAAAGGCTCAGCAGGAATTTATTAAATTTATTATTTGCGGAGCCCCCGCGGGCCGAGGCAGCCGAAGCCCCCTCCCCTCGGGCGCCTCCCCGCCCCCTCCTCTCCTTGGGCTGTAGGTGGAGCCCGCGCTCCGAGGCGCTCCAGATCCGGGCTTGGCGAGCGCCTCTCCTCCTCCTCCTCTCCGGGGGCTTCCAGCCGCGCTCCGTCCTCGCCGCCCCCCCCCCCCCCCGCGGCTGAGACTTGCGCTGAGAGCCGGAGCCAGCGGCGCCCCCTTCCGCTGGGAGACCCTCGCCCGCCCGCCAGCTTCCTCTCGGAGGGTTTTGGGGAGCCCAGGGCGCGGCGCGGCCCCTCGGAGCTCTCCTCCCTCCCTGTCGGCAGAAGCAGCCGCCGCCTGTGGCTGGGCCGAGGGGATGGCATCGGCGTCGGGGTGCGGAGGCTGCCCATGCCCGGCCAGGCGTCGGTGGTGGCGTCGGCGCTGCTGCAGTGGCTGCTCCTCCTGCAAGCAGTGAGTGGAGCGCAGCTTCAGCGGTGGCGGCGGGGGGGGCGCACGCGCTAGGGCGCAAGGCTGGCGGTGGCGGCGGGGAGCCCGGCGGAGGAAGTAACTTGTCCCTTCCCTCTGGACTTGCGCCCCCCCAGATGTTGCGCCCGGTGCGGCCGGCACCCCTGGCACCCCCCACGCTACGCCACTGGATGGATGGATGGATGGATGGATTTGTGGCTTTTGCCTGAGAAGGAGGGAATTCCTGCTCCTTCCTTACTGCCATCACTGGAGCCAATTGCCTTGTCACCACTTCCAGAGACAGCCGCAGATCCATTCCAGCTTTTTTATTCTGCTTGCATCTCTCTCTGTCTGCTTCTCTTGACTCCCAGTTTTTAAAAAACATTAGGGGGTGTGTGAGCACACCCCCTTTGCATGTCTATCCCTAACCCAGGGACAAATCCTGACCAGGTTGAAGTCAGGCTGCCTAGTCATCTATGAAGATGGGTCTACTATTGCTCTGTACTGCCTTGTACCCAGGCCATCAGAATAATCCCTTTTCCAGCTCTGCCCGGGACTCTGATGTCACAGCCACTTAGTCTGATCTGCAAGCATCCTGGGCTGACACCTTGTTAAACACTCACAGGGGGTCGTGCTTCCAGGCCTTTTCCTGACCTGCTTTCTTTTTGCCCGCTGCAAAGTTTCAGTTGGCAGGCACTTCCCTTGCACTATTAGGTGTCATTCGAGGAACAAGGCACCCAGATCACTTACAAATTAATTTGGAGTTAAAACTACAGAAAATTAGGAACATGTTGCTTTGCAGACTTGGCTAGCTCTCAAGATAAATACATGGAAAACTCCTTCATTTGTAACTTTGCTCTGTGAAAAGGGGGGGGGAGTCACAAGCATTCCTGCTTCCTGTCTCTTAACTGTTGTCAAGGCCTTCAACAGCTGTTTAATGGTCTGAGGCCTTACTTCCCAAGGAAAACTGAAGCAAACAAACAAAGGATTGGAATTATTTTCCTTAGGGCCAAATTAAGCTAAATAAAACTGATGAAGCACACAATCTAAAACCCTTGTCAACCATTAGTTTTGCAGGAGAGTCGCCTTGAGGAGCTGGCCCTTTCCCCCTGCCAAAAAAAAAAAAAGTCCTGCTAGCAAGTTCTGTTTCCACAGTCATCACTTTGTCTTCATTGCTTTCTCACTTCTGGATTGTCAGCTGAGGAGCCACTCTTAAAAAGACCAAATTCTACCCAGCAGGCCTCTGGTTTTAAACTTCCAATCTAAAAGCCAATTTCATTGGTAATCATCATGCCAACCAATACAGGATTAGAGTAGTGCTCAGTCAGCATAGACTGACGTGCCCTGGTGTGCACAGTCATAGGTTGTAATGGTATCATAATACCGCAGCAGGGCAATTCAGCCTTTCTATGCTTGGCACAATTGTTATTGCCAGATGCAGAATTGTGGCATTGTGCATGTAGCTGGTACAACAGGGCACAAAACCTGAAAATGGTTCTGCCACCACGGAGCTAGCTACATAGCCACAAACCTGTACAATTAATTATTGCTGGTAAGATGTTGTTATGAGTACAGTAGGCCTTCCCACTTGCCTCAATTTGTCTGTCCCTATAATCCATACCTAAGTTACTATGCATATCTACCCAAATATTGGAGGGTTGGGTGTCACTGGTCTACAAAAATATATCAAAGGACGCATTGCATTGGTGGGCTCAATTATGAGCACAATTTTAATGTTGGCACCCTCATAATGCTTTTCCATGCTGTACCCAGTAAATGGGACGCGGATGGTGCTGTGGGTTAAACCACAGAGCCTAGGACTTGCCAATCAGAAGGTTGGCAGTTCGAATCCATGCGACGGGGTGAGCTCCCGTTGCTCGGTCCCAGCTCCTGCCAACCTAGTAGTTTGAAAGCACCTCAAAGTGCAAGTAGATAAATAGGTACCGCTCCGGCGGGAAGGTAAACAGTGTTTCCGTGCGCTGCTCTGGCTCGCCAGAAGCGGCTTAGTCATGCTGGCCACATGACCCGGAAGCTGTACGCCGGCTCCCTCAGCCAATAATGCGAGATGAGCGCCGCAACCCCAGAGTCGGCCACGACTGGACCTAAAGGTCAGGGGTCCCTTTACCTTTACCTAGTAAATATCTACTAGGTTCAATACATCTTTTTGTTAGAATCATAGAATTATAGAGCTGGAAGGCACCACAAGGATCATCTAGTCCAACTCCTTGCAATGCAGAAATCTTTTGCCCAACATGGAGCTTGATATTATTACTATTATTATTACATTTATATCCCTCCTTTCCTGCCAGGAGTTTAATAGTTCTTCCCCTTCTCATTTTATCCTCACAACAACCCTATGAGGTAGGTTAGGCTGAGAGGCAGTGAATGACCCAAAGTCACTTTGTGAGCTTCATGGCTGAGTGAGGATTTGAACTCCGGTCTTCCAAACCCTAGCCTGACACTGTAACCACTATACCACACTGGTTATCTATGTTTCTGTATGTACCATACAACACTTTCCATTTTACTCTTCTTGCCACTAAATATATTATCACAACCAGTG